CAGAGCAAAGCGAGCGTATTCAATGTGTCATATCATGCAGATGACCCATGTTTGCATTTTAATACCGAAATCGTAAAATGCAAAAAAGCCATACCAAAATGAACGCAACCTCATTCCTAAACACTATTTCGGATCCGTTCTAATGAATTTTTATAAAGATACACTACTTTGTATCAATTCAACCAGCATGATTGCTCAACATTGCACTGCATACAAATATCAACGACAATACTCTAACTAAAAACAAGCGCTGTATGAAAAATGTTTGTTCTGATGAAACGCGGAGAAATGTAGAATCTTTTGAGTTCTTTATGTTGTACAGCTTTTTCTAGAGAATGCCAGTTTTTTCAAAGGAAAATCAACCTTTGACGCTTAATGTTGATATTCAGAAATGTTGTGTACTTTTTCGAAATAAGAAAACCATATTTGGAATCAAATCAATGCTGATTCTAACATTGATGTCACAATGAATTTCTGGGAAATAGAATCGACTTAACCGTTGGTAAGTTATAATACACACACGTTCATGAAATATATTCATGATTCCCCTTTTCAGGGGCTTTTCATTACGCCGTACGCAAAAGTCAAAGCAAAGCAAAGATACAGAGGAAAATAAAGACGATTTAACCGGAAGAGAGAGAAAAAAGAGAGCGTTTGTCGAATCGAAATGTACGAAAATGTCTAATCAAAGTTGTACGCGTAGTCATAACGTTGTACCACTTTGAAAAGAAATCACCACGATCACTTATGTTACACCCAAATTCTCATCGAATTTCTGTTTGTGACTATTTTGTCGGAAGTTTGTTACGCGTTGTAATCGCATGTTCGATTCAACGATAAAATGCAGATGCCGCTTCAATTAGTAAAACCTGTACACAAACAGAAAGCGCAGAAGAAAAAGAAAAGAGTGTAAGAGAAAGGGACGAAGAAAAAAAATCACATTCGAATCAAGGACATTCATTGCTGACTCTATTTTTCTTCCACTTGCAGTGAAATGATTGCAGTATTCAATTTATACGAAAGCACTTGAAGTGCTCCAGCGCAATGGAGATTTGGATTCGTTCGATTGTTTTTGGAATGTTCCACGTAGACATTTTGCAAACGTCGACGGATCGAGAGTTTATTGTGTTCGTCGTTAATGCTGGTTAAGTTTGTGAAGCAGCCATATGTGTATATATATATGTGTGTGTGTGTGTGTGTTAGACATATGATTATTCACCTTCATTCGACAGTTGCGATGTTTTTTTGATTGCATCGGATTTACTCGCTTCTACCACTTCATCCTATTTACGCATTCAGCTGTTTCTCAAGCATCGAATCGACTGAATGAAGAACTATACCTGGTTAATATGAATGCCATTGAAATGGGTATCAACACCGCTCGCTCGCTCTCTCTCTCTCTCTCTCTCACTCTCTTTCTCTCTCTCACTCTCTGATAAATTGCTGTTCTCCGTTGTTTTTCTTTTCGACTTCACTCTTTCGACGCGTGATCATTTCATCACATTCGCTCGTTTTCAATGCAATATTAAGTCTCGTTATTTTTTTTCCTGTCGTTGTTCGTTTGCCACACAACTTCATATATAATCGCGTTTCGCAATTGCTAAGAACGAAGTTTTTGCCATGAGATTTGAGCTTTTGTTTGTGTTTTTCCTTCACATTTACACACACACACACACACACGTTCGCATTTTCCCCGTTCTTTTACTTCTTCTTCAGTATGCAGAGATGGTTTGCATCTTTCTTGTGTGCGAGTCTGTGTTTTTTTCCCTATCCTTGATGCCATAGTCTCAAAAAATTCGAAATGTTTATGTGTACACATTGAAATTTGTATCAATCAACGACGGAAAATCTCTATGATCTTTGGCAATATTTGCATAAATACGGATGCTTGATGGAACCAAGGATGGAACACACACTTACATAGACGGATGGAAAAACAAATGAACAAAAAAAAAACCGAAAAGAGAAATGAAGACGGAAAAAACGACGTGCGCTTGTAGGAAAAAGAAAGAAAAAAATCGAAACCATTTCAACTTACACAACAAATGTACCACCAGGACTCTGTGACAATCGATGTGAAAAGCGTGAGCATGAAATGATTGCCGATTGTTGAATAGGACATTTTTTTTCGTGTGTGTGTGTGCGCGAGTGCGGGCTTGAAACCGATGGATCTCGCAACGACAAATGAAATTTACATACTTTGCTTGTGTTTTTTATACTCTCTCTTCGCTTTTCATTGCTCTCTGCCAATAGAAGATATCCACATTCAGGTTTGTTTTTTTCTCTTCTTCTTCTTCTTTTCAAAAAGTATGTGTATCAAACGTTTGCTCCATGACAATTGATGGCACACCAAATACTTTCTCATGTATGCAGGCACTTACAACAATTTGGATGTAAGTATATTTGAGCATGAATTATACCAAGCACAGGGCACACAAAGAGTATGAGTAAGTTTAGAGCGAACGGCAGATTTTTACACAGAGAGAAAGAGAGAGAGAGAGAGAGAAAGCGGCCGAAATCAAATGTGAAACATTGCAATGGAATCCTGAGCTTGAAGAACAATACGAAAGCGATGCGAATAAGGAAAGTAAATTAAATAATACAAACAATTCGAAAAAACGAATTGAACACACAGAGAATAAAGAGAAAAAAAAGTAGAGAGAAACACATAGAAAGAGAGGCAGGCAGGCAATCGCTTACACACGAAATATTCGGCTACAGAATCGTTCATTGATGAACATTGAACGTGGTATTTATACAGTGAGTAGATTTTTTTCCCGCTATGTTTCTCCGTTTTCCGTTTCTACTTCGGTTACTGTGAGAACCCTGAGTGTGTCTGCAACTCAAGTGAATAAAAAAACAATCGTCGGTAACAAGTAATATGAAATTGAGCAGGAAGAGCACACAGAAAGATCGAGATTTTTTCGAGCTGCTCAGAGAAGATGGGAAAACTGTGTGATTTATGTGTGTGTGTATGTTTGTTTGGCATTGATTTGAAAGTAACTACGTAGAGACACATTCGAAAAAAAAATGCACTCGAATTAGATGGCAAATGGAATGTTGGAACTGTGCACCAAAATTGCCACCACTCACAATGTTGACGCAAATTGGTTGTAAAAATTCCATACTGAATTATATGTTCGGGATGAACGTAGGATATAGATTGGAAGAAGAGAGAGAAAGAGATCATAAGAAAGTTGAGATGCTTTGATACGATTGCAACCGTGTGAAATGAGACAACCGTGAGCTAGGTTCAACCGGCAGTGATGTCGAGAACGCGTTTTCAAGTATAAGCTCGTATGCAACATAAGTGAACACATTTTCTTTACAGATGTCAAACTCGATATTATTTTCTCGTTAAGTTAAATTCACTCAAAATTGCACACAAACACACAAAACCCGGCAACGAAGCGAAAGGAAGAAAGATCGAGAGAAAAGAGAAGACAGAGAGAGAGAGAGAGAGAGAGAGAGAGAGAGAGAGAGAGAGAGAAAACAATGGAAACGTGGGAAAATGAAGGAAAAACAATGAAATGAACCAGCCAATCGAAACACAGAACACACATAAATTGCATTACATTCGAAAGCCACAGCATTCGACGGCAATAGTATTTGTGTTGAACATGTTTTTTCTCTTCTGTTCCTTCTTCTAGAAGAATAGGAAAATTAATCCGGAAAAGAATTCGAGATGTCCGAGAGAAAAAGAAGGAAATTCCACATTATCACCGACGTAGTCAATATTTGTACATTGTTCCTATTGCAATACTGTTCTCGGACGGCAAACACGGGGCATAATAAAATGTCGCATTGCAAAGAGAATCACAATGTACGCGTGAGTACGTTTGTACGACGGTGATCAAAATTTCCTGGCCTGTCTACTTGATGTCATTTACAAAATGCGATACAACAACTCTTGAATGCAAAAATATGCACTGAACTTAGTTTTAATTCCAAGCTTAAAGTTCAACTGCTCGTACACATTGCACACCGACTAAACGACAAATGCAATTCTAAAATTTCGAAATACAAATGGGGTACGCGCTGCACGGTGTGGAAAAAACGACAGTGAAGAAGGAGAACGAACGAGAAAAAAAACAACGAAAGACTGCACAATAGCAAAAGCAATAATAAATAAAGTGAATGAAAAAAGTGTGTGTGTTCACATTTAACGCGTGTACCTTGCACAATCTAGGTGAATAAGGTAGGACTGGCTAAAATATGCATACCAAGCAGAATGGCACGGTTGCATCGAAGAGTCGAGAGGCTTTGCAAAAAAAGAAATAAACACAATTGCAACAAAAGAGACGAGATTTTCTCGTGGAATGAAAAGCGAAAAGAAAAGATTATTGAGATTTTCTCTGAAAACAGCAATAACAATGACAACACAACTGCAGTAGATATATTGTAATTTCAGTTACGAATGGATCTCGTTTCATTTCATTTATTATATTCACAGAATAAAGACTGTAGCATTTGAAATAAAATGAATTTAATTGTTTGATTGTAAAAGCATTCGAATCTTGACATTTCAGTTTTAAATAAGATGAGACGTAATTTGAATCGGAAATAATGCCATATTTACCACGACGTTCATTTTACTGCGTTATTTTAATACTTTTGGAAATGGATGAATGGGAAAATGAAACACGATACTGATGAATAGTGGCGAAAGTTTAAATCATCTAGGAAATTTAGCCAGTGCCATTAAAAGAAAAAAAAATTAATTTACTTTGTAAATTATCGCTCTCATATCCAATGTACACGTAGTAAGGATTCGGATAAAAAGCCGCATTGCGTCATCTCTTGTAATCGTTGCGCTACTAGCAAAGACACAAACCGTTCGACGTGTGCTTTTCATGTGTGTTGAGTTTCTATCGTGTGCGGGTCTATGCTACTTGAAAAGCTGGCGCTGATTCGAATGTTTTTCCTGTGTTTTGTGGAAAATCGATAGCCGCAAAATGCCAACAGTATGACAGCTGAGGGTTTGTCAATTGCACATTAAACAAAGCAACGCGGCTAATGATAACACGTAACACCATTTCTGTGACTAATGTGCAATACCATCATTTTTGTGCGAATCTCGTGAAGCGCATCATTTTGACCTGAAAAGTTCAAACTATCGGAAAGAAAACGAAATGGTAATTAATTTTGTTTCATTCTGAATTCGTTTAGTTTCTTTGCTTTGTAATTATTTCTGTAACTGAATATGTCTGAATTAACTAATTGGTTTACAGTCAGCAAACGGTATCAACCGAACTGGAACTGGAAACGATTCAACGAACAACAATATGGAAGTAATTTTTCTCGGTTCACATTCAAACAATAATCATACATTGACAGCGGGAAATAAGGATGCAGCCAGCGGTAGCCGAATTTCCAATAAGTTTAGTTCATGTAAAACACTTCAACGAAAATTGGAGCTCAAAGTGGAACGTGCCAAAAAGAACTATTCACAACAAAACGGCAGCGATGTAACCAATGTAAGACTTCATTTTCGGCATTCAATATGAATGAGTAAAATTAATAGAAATGTTTTGTTCTCTCTTCTAAAGGATACAAAAAGCAACAATACATCTCTGATACCAATCAATAGACTTCCGATTCCAGGTCATACTCTTCCACTTGTTGAATACAAATCCGATCACAGGTAAAACATTGAATTATCCACAAGTTTAGGCTGGGCCTAATGTTCCATTTTCCATTCAATTACAGCAGTAGCGAAGACGAGGAGTTTTCATCGCCATTTTTTCCGACCAAAACAAAAACAACAAGAAAACTCGACCTTAGTGATACGTTCAGCATACAAGAAATGACCATTGAAAGTGACGAATCCGATGGTGAAAGTGGTGATTCGCAAAATCTCGAACTGCTTCCGCCAAGTGTACGCATCAAATTCATCGACAAATTAATCAACTACTTTTGTTGTTCGTCAACTGACCCATGATTCAACTGAGTATTTCCACCTGGACTGCAATCGAAACAGATCGCCTTTTGATAATTGAAGCAAAAACCATAAAATATCTTGAGCAAAGACTGTCAAAAACGAAATCGATTTTGGGAAAATAGTAGCGAAAGAAAAAAAAAGAAGAAAACATTTCAAACGATAAGATTAGATATAAACGACCGTTTTTCTCTCGGCTCTTTAAGCATTTTTATAAGATAATATCCATTGATAGAACATTTTTGGCGAAAATAAATATGAAAATTTGCTAAGAAAACGTATCGACTTCACGAAACGAACGATTTGGACGAGAGATCAATTTTATTTCTTTCATCAGTACAAAAAATGCATTTTTTAGATGAATGAACTAAATTTAATGTGTTTTGTTCCATAACGAAAAAGACAAAGAAAAAAATGCTCGATAAAGATTTGAGGGCGCATAAGGGATATAGCATCAAATTCACAATAAGAATAATAAAACGTCCGAAGTAGTAATTTGTTTAAATTCTCATTTTATTAAAACTGTTTAACGCGTCTCGCTATCTCATCTTCCAGTTCTCAATTCAAAAATATATATACGAACTTAACTTGATGCAGTATGTTTTACAAATAAAGTTACAATCAAATAAAAAAATCCTTAAATAAAGACGAGAAAAAGAAAGTTGATGATGATCCCAACCAAACGGAGGGTGAGGGGGGCAAACATAATTTTTTTTTCTTCTTCTTCTCTCACTTGTGTTTCGTTTTCACATACTTTTCACAATCATTTATTAAATAGAAGAAAAAACACCGTTTCTGTGTTTGTTTGTTTTTTTTTTTTAACATAATTAATGTTGATTCCCTATAGTTTTGTTCCTTCCCGATAATTTCGAAAAAAAAAATTGTTTTTACACAAGGTTCATGAAAAGAAATAATTTTCAATTGTTCTCTTCACTTTTTTTTGCATAATGTAGAGCTATTGTTTTTCTTCGTGTTACTCCGTTCCAGTAAATTGACCGCATAAAAACAAATATAATAAAAAAAAACGAAATGAAATTGTTAAAATAGTTTAAATAACATTTTCTTTCTCTTTACTTTCACTTGTTTGTTTCGATACAGTGTTAAAAGTTGTAAAAACCTGCTGCTGTTGTTGTTGTTGTTGTTGTTGTTGTGTTAGGTGTGTTTCTGTTCAGAAATCGATGCGATGCATTACGAAAATTGAGATCTGCGAAGTAGTTGCAAATGAGGTCGGTCAACTAGTGAACTTATCCAGAAGTCATTTCATATGTGTACACGATCATCGTTAACTACTTCGAAACTCGCAACTAGCGCATTGCGCCACATATTAGAATGTCGTTTTTGTTATTACTTTTTTTTCTATCGCACAATTTCACGTTTTTTACTTCTTCTTCTTCTTCTTTCTTCCTTTTTTTTCAAATATCATGATATTAATTTTGGTAGTAATTTAAGGCATTATTCATTTTTATAATTAAATTTAATATTTCTTTTTTTTTCTTCATCTTCCTTGAATCATCAGTATTTACATCATCACACACACGTGGGTGCAAGAAACAGTATTTTGTCGGATGGATTGACGTAAAAAATAAATTCACTTAGATCTATTTATAGGTTCTATTTATTACTTATCAATATATTATTGTTTAGCGAATTTTTGTTTCGATTTGCGTGGAAAGAAAAATAAGAAACGAAATAACGTTTATCTAGAAGTTTTACTTGTCTTCTTCTTCTTCATGCTTCAGCGGAAATGGTGTATGTATGTGTGTGTGTGTTTATCAGTCAACAAATCCAACAAAATACTCATTCTTTTGTCATCGTATGCGCATTATACATATACATATACATATAAAAATGTAACCTAAAACCAAAAATTTCGATCTACATAAATTATTAAATTTATTTTTTTTTTCTTCTCTTCAATTGTTGTTGTTGTTTTTTATTAATTTATTTGCTAGATTTATAGATTTTTTTCGTCTTCTTTTTTTTAATCGTATTGTATTTTGAAACGTTTTTGCATCTTTGAGAGAAAGTTTTAGTGTTTGTAGCCAAAAAAAAAACGTGTTACCGTACACTTTGTGGAGAGGTTTCGGTTTTGTTGCTTTTTATACTTTTTGTTAACTTTTTTTTTAATGGATTTTGGCCCATTTTTCCGCTTGGCTGCAACCAATAAACTCTTCAGATGATTTGTCCATTTTACTTGAAACGATCTGTTGCTTACTTTTCGAATTCCGTGCTCTACATATTTTCTTTAATATTTTTTGTTGTTATTGTTATTGGTGAAATGTTGTGTGTACTTTGTTTCATTAAGGTTCTTTCTCGATTTTTTTTTTCGTCCGCCTCGTTTCCCATGTAAATTCACAGCACAGCGGATTATAAGAATAAAAACTTCTACAATCAGAATATCTATAACGTGGGGTGGAGAAAAGTTTCAATTTTTTTTGTTGCCTATAGATTAGATTTTTTTAGACACACATTTCGAGTGTGTTTGCAATTCATTTTCATTCAGTTCTTTGTAGATGTGTGTTGCCTTGTTGTTGTTCTTCTTGTATATTGTATATGATTTTCTTTTTTTTCGTGATTAACCGTGTTGCTTTTTGTTGTTATTTTTTTTCTTTTTTTTGGCCCAATAACGTTTCGATCTATGTACAATTTAATGAGGATTGGAAATATGCACGCTACAATCGCTGCAGCACTCTTTCTCTGCAAAACTACCTCCGCTTTGTGGATGAATGAAGACAAAAATCACGCGGCAATTATGATGCGTTGTTTACAATTTGTGGTGTTGGTGGTGGTGGTGGTGATTGTTGGCGATGTTTTTGTTTGCTGCATGCATCACTTGAGGTACGATTTATATAGCATTGTGCTCCTGCATGTGTCACGCTCTTGCTCCAAATAGAAGATCATGTCGCGCAAATTTACTCGCTTTATTCGCGGTCTGAGTGGTACAGTCGCTCCTCCGATACCCAACGTACTTCCGCCCGCCTGAAAATCAAACATTCATTCATTAAAATGACATACTCAGAAAACAACCATTTACAGTATAGTTGACGGCAATTGTGTGGAATCTACTCGATAGAAGTGAATTTTAGTTCCATTTTGAATTGCATTGCGGTTTATTGATTCGTTCACCAAGTTCGAAATGTGTTAAAATGTACTTACCGCTGTCGCAGTCGCAGTGTCACTCTCCAGTTTCGGCTTCTTGCGTGGTCCGATAGCTTGTAAGGCCGTTAAATTCGCGTCCCTTTGTCGAAGCTCTTCCATTTCAGCCCGTTGCATCTCCTTAGCCTATTTGTATGAAAGTAATTCTATTCAGCGGACAATTCCGGGAGAAAATCCATTCGATCTTTGCACTTACCTTCGCCTTCAGTTTAGCTTGTTCCGGATCCTCCGTTTTCGATCTCGATTTGGCTGCACGCATCAGCATCTCTCGCTCCTGTTCTTCGTGCCGTTTTTGTTCAGCCTTATCCAACTCTTCGAGAAATTTGATCTGACCGCGTACATCCTTCGTAATTTCATACCGTGGATCAATCTGTCAATGCAATAGAATTCGTGTTTGTAAATTCGTTCAAAATTGTGTTCAAATCAACGGCCATTTTTTGCCTATAGCTAACATCAATCCATTCTTATACATACTTTGATTATGTCGATTCGATGTTCGGCTATCACAGCCAATTTTTCTACGATATTTTTCAAGCGCTCTTGACATGCATGCGATACCAAAACAGCAACTTCATTGCCCGGCTCTTCCAGCCCATGTTTGGCCATGATATTGCGAATTCGTGACTGTAAGGCTGGCAAATGCAAAAACACTTCATCTTTACACGACCGAATTTGACGGCCAATCAGCTCCGTTGAGCCCAAGATTCGTTGCGATTCTTCCGCCAAATTGACGCCACCCATCGCAGCGACATCGTTGATATCGTCATCACCATACATTGAAGAAGACATTGATGATTGTTGGAAAAACGACGCCGATGCTTTTCGTTCCTTTTCCTTGTTCGCTGCGCTCGATTTCGCTGACGCAGCCGCCTGGCTTTTGATTGGAACCATTTTCGGTGGGGCCTTTAGAAAACGAAACGAAATATCGATTCAGTATGCATTCAAACAATAAACAATTTGTTACCAAACATTCGAATCTAATGGGATCAAGCCACTTACAGGTGTCGTTGTTGCGTTTGCATTGGAAGTTGAAATGAGAGTGGTTGCGGAAGTTTCTTTAGCTATGCTCTTATTCGTGTCGACTGGTTCAGACTTTATGATGGGCGGCTGTGGTATGACAATTGGCTGTGGTGCCGTCGCATTTGCCGCATTTATGATCGGTTTTATTTGCGTTGATCCAACTTTCATCGTCGGTGTCGTTGACTGTTGTTGTTGTATCGTATTGGCGGCAGTTTTCAACATTTTCGCTAAAAAAGTTTTACAAAGAGAATGAATTCGATGTTAAACTTGGCCTTTTAGTTTCTCGCAAAAGAAAAAATCTTCAATCACACTTCATCAAAATCACTTACCATTCTGTTGAATGATGTGTGCACCATTTTCTGTAACCGTTTGTCTAATTTGCACTGCCGGAGCCGGACGCGCAACAGGTACACTTGCGGCGCGAATCTAAAATTGAAAAAAAGACGAGTTTGGAGAACATTCATCAATCGAAAATGCACATGGATTCGAAATGGTTGATGTAACTCACCTGCGCTCCACCCGGTGCAAAAGTATTTTGGCTAACTGGATGTAAAGCTGGCGGATGTGACTGAATTTGTACATTTGCAGGATGCTGTTGATGAATGATTGCTGCACCACTTGAAGCACGAATTTGTGTTGAGTTCACCATTCTCGGCACATTGATCGGCGCTTGAATGGCTGCTAAAACGGAAAATAATACATGAATTAATGGAATGATTCGCTGGGGTCCGTTATTTATGCGTGAATTCGTACCTCCATTAGGTTCAGTTTGCACAGCATTTAATCGAAGGCGTACTGGAGCCGTGTGTCGAGTAATTGTTGCTGGTCGTGTTTGTTGAGGAACCATACGAACTAGTGGGGCCAAATTGATACAATTTCATTATAAGAAATGCCAAAGTCGGAATATGCAAATGCTTCAAATTACCTGCTGGTAAATTAACTACGGGTCTAACTTGAGTGGCAATATTTGATGTTGCATACGTGCCGAACGCAACACTATGTGGTGGCGGCTTAATACCCTCAATTGATAGCTCCTTCATAACCAACGATTGTCGAAGAAGCGGCAAACTTTTCTATAATTTTCAAAATGAAAACGAAAAAAAAGTTAGTATTCCTGCCAATATTAACCCAAAATTCTATTCACATCCATGATGCCCACCTTTAGGAAGCCAATAAGACATGGTTGTGGACTGGCGTTGAGCAATCGTTCGAGACGATCGCAAAATTGGTCTGGTTCCACATTAGCGTCGATCAGCTCTTGGATGAGTTCCTGAACATTTTGTTCGACCGGTTTTGGTTCTCTGCTCGACAATTCCAATAAATTAGATAAAAACTTTCGACATTTCTCTTTGGTATTGTGTAAATTGGCCTGAAATCATAAAAAGAAAAAATCCACCATGAATAATTAGCTCAATTGATGACAAATGAAGATCGTTGGATTCCATTGATGGATGGTAACACATACATGCGAAGGTGTTGCACTCGTTGTGACATTGCTAGTGGGTATCGCATTCGTCGCATTCATTTGCTGCGTTTGAATCTGAGGCTGAGGTGGTAATGCTGATTGTTGGATTGAATGAGATACAGGTGCTACAGAGGCTATTGGCGGTAATTGACTTGTGTTTATGCTCTCTCGAGATCTCGTCGTTACTGTATTTATTGCTGGCGTTGTGTGTACCGAATTTACAACTATTGGCGTTGCCGTGGACGCCTATAACAAATTCATTTGAAAGAGAAAACATTTCAAATTTATGTCATCATTACAATCAGCCGATATCCGAATGATACACCCGGGTAAATCAAAGTCAAATCTAATTCAACCGCAATATAGTTTTTGTTTTTCATTTTTTTTGGTTAGTCTTTGCATCTAATAATTTCAGAACGGAATCGTTCGAAATTGACTTTGAATATCGGTTTAGTTGCTAATCATATAATGTAGGTATGTGTATGTGGTTATTTTATTTTGTAACATAAATCAAATCATTTTCGTTATTTTATTTTTCTCTTGTTCTAAACAATTAATAGTCAGCCATAAACGTAAGATAGAAAGCGAGTAATTTCTCTCATTCTCAATCGAAATTATATCGTCGAGAATAACAACAGAAATACATATGGTAAATGGTAAAACGGAAATGGATAAAAAGAAATCATAGATAAAGAAAACAAATTCTATGCTGCTGCTGCTGCTGGTTTTCTTTCGCAAAATATTGATTACTACGATTATTAAATGATTCAAGAAAATGACAGCTAAATTGTCGTTAGTATAAATATTTACTGCAAAATGGTTTAGACGATGGGATCATGCATCTCATCTACCGATGTGTGTTGCTTCCAATGTGAATTTGGAAAAAAGAGCGGATTTTCGTTAAATGGCAATTTGATTCTAATTATCATTCTTATATGCCGAAATTGTGGTTTGTGTCTCGTGAATTTTCGGTTGAAATGTGCTAAAAAGCTATTCATCGTGGATTCACAGCGACATTTTTTCCTTTTAAATGGTTTTGAACGTAAATTTTTTGAATAAGGCCAAAAATTAGTTCGAAATTTGGTTGTTGGTCGTTAAAATGAACACAATTTGGTTTTCGTGGTTTGAACGAGTTCAGGAAGAAACACCATACGGAAGTATTGAAGGATAAATGAAAGCAAACAAATTGGTGAGTGGATAGATATAGGGTATACATCAGACATCAAAGAATAAGAACTTTCGGTAGTTTGACTTTTTTTTACAAAGAACAATCAAGACATTCAAATAGAGTTCATTATCCAACAATTAAGTAATTTCTGGAATGATTTTTAGTAATATTTGCCTTCGTTTTCACTGGCTGCTGAGTTACAATTGTTTTTCTGAGTGCTAATGGTGGTCCGGTGAATCTACTTACAGATGGAACCGTTTGTATACGAATTGTTGGATTTGCACCACTATTTGGTAGGGTTTGTTGTGTTGTTTGTGTTGATGGGCCATAATGCAGTAAACGATATTGCCCATTTTCCGTTTTCAGTAGCAGCGCCGAGCCGGGCTGTCCTGGCTGCAGTGCACTTAGCGTTATCTAGCGAAAGAAAGAGAAAAATGGTCATAAATTTAGTTTTAAGTTCAATGAGACGAAACCAAAAAAAAAAAAATAAGCAAATCACTTGCACTTCACTTACTCCAGGATTGGTCGGCCTCGTCGCCACCATATGTGGATTGCTGATAACTACTCGAGGTGAAACCGTGGCTACCGTTTTGGTCTGTGCTACTGGTGCATTTGGTCGCATATTTACAAGTTGCACACCGGGTATCATTGAATTTGCTACTATATTTTGATTTGCCTGAGGAACCGAAGCAAAAACACCGCAATTTGAAGAGAGGAAAAAAGAACACCGCAATTAATTTTTTAAGCTGATTAGCAAACGTCAATACTGTGTTGTTTTACTATCAGGTCATTAATAGAATGCATGTTGACCCTTTTTGTGGTTGACCATTAATGGATCAATATATAGGATAGAGACATACATCACTGTGCATCGATTTGTTCTGTTTGCATGCTGAACTCACATCGTTACGTTGTCATGGAGCACAACTATAGTTCTTTTTTTTAATAGATCACAATAATACTACTAGGCCACAAATAATTATGTGTGCGAATTCACACATATTGTGTAATTCGCTTCAATCTTTTCCCTCGAATTAATTTCTCATATGACTCTGATTGGTCTGTGGTGTGATTTTTTGACACGTCTGGTTTTCATCAATGTTTCGATACATCTATGGTGAAATTCCGATACAAACACGAAATGTGCAAACTGAATGTGTTTTCTTTTGATTCTTTGATATGTCTAATAAAAAATCGAGGGCAGAATCGCGTCGAAATTTTCATAAATTTCAAGACAACATTTTCATTGAACGAACGAACGAACGGAGAGAGAGAGAGAGAGAGAGAGGTGATGTTTGTGTATAAACGAAATTCGCGATGTAGCGCGATTCGGTATTGAGTACGACAGCGTAGTATGAGCGCAAGGTCGTAATGTGATGGTAATGATGACGTAGTTGTGTTTGTTCATTCGCTATAACCGTATAGCCATTGTACATGATACGAGTGTATAGGCACTTTAATTCATTGTCTTCACACATGCACGGCCCCGTAACGATGTCGAATGAATAATAAAAATAACTTCAGTTACGGTGTGTGAACGAGAGAGAGTGTGTGTATGTGTGTGGTGAAATTGTTCTTTTTTTACGGATTCAGAACTCAGAATGAATAGCATGAATGTTCTTTCTTTTCGTTTCGTTTCATTCTTTTTTGGAATTGTCCATATACATACTGATTCTTTTCGTTTTATTTCATTTCAAAGAATACACATACACACTCAAATCCACGCGCACACACTGGCTGAATATATTTAAAACCGATTCATTTCATTTCATTCGCATTAATAGCTAAGAGGGGAGCGAATGAATACACAATCGTCGAAGCGATGAACAAAAGAGATAGACATGGTGGATAGACAGTGAGTGATATTGACGACCACTCCAATACAGGCAATTCAACGGGTTAGACAGGGATCATCGGTGTGTCTAACCCAGTTTGAACGTGTCTGTATGAAACAAGAGTAACAAGTCAAATAGTTCGTCGTTGTCATCGTTGTCGTCACATCAACTGCATTAACTGATTTACACTATTCACTGAATTATATTTTTCCCTCCATTTAATGCGCGAGACACATTTTGACAACGAATGATGTGTCAATAGCCGAAATCACTGTCAGCACCGAATTGAATGTATTTCTCTTTTTTGTCTTTCTTTCCTATCTCTCTCTCTCTCTCGGAGTTTTCATTGCGTTTTTCTTGTCATTTCATTCCATTTTTTTTCTCATCAATGAATTTTGGTTGCTTTTGAACCGTATTTCAGCACAGTCACACACCAATATCAGTGTGAAAGAAAGTCTTGAATAACACGAAACAAAAGGGAAAAAAGAACCGAGCAAGAGAGAGACTTTAATAATGAATACTTTGTAAATTCACTAACACATGCACTGGCAACTGAACGATGAACAAATATGAACACGGTGTACAACTACAAAAATTCGTATCGCACTCGAACACTGGCACAAAATTATTGAATAAATTAGCATGAGATAAGCTGTTTCACGGAATAAAAAGACATGACGAGGAAAAATTGACAACGGAACGATTGGAACATATTTTCTGATTGTTGTTTCTTTTTCTCTCTGTTGTATGCAAACAGAACGAACGAACGCAATTGACGCAAAAATCGATGATGCAGTTCAATGTATATCAATCGTAGATAGCAAAGATTTCACTTTATAAAATTCGTTTGTATGTCTTCAGGCCCACCACAATAAACAAAAACAACAACAACAACAACAACGACGATAACAGCAAATTGTATCACCGATTCAATCGCACAAATTGATTCATTGACACGAATGACTTTTTCGTGTATGCACGCAGAACGCACCTGATTCTTAATAACTATAGTTTGTGGTTGCTGGCCGGTCACAGTGTTTGTGCCTGAATTTGCCGCCATCGATGTGGACGTGTGCATTATATTCGGCTGCTGTTGTTGCGAAGGTATTGTTGCTAAATTAATCGTTCCATTTGGTATTTTGCTCGGATACACTAACTTCACAGGTTCATTGTTCTTTGACATAGCTGGCTGCACCTGCACTGATTGCTGCTGCTGCTGCTGCGTTACTATCTGCTGTGCTTGCCGCAACGGCTGCTGCAGAAGTGGTTGATGGCTCTGATTTTGGGTGATATGTTGATTCTGATGCGATACACCCACTTCTGCCGTCGACTCACTGCTCGGTTGGTGTGCAAAATCTGGAATCATAATTGATTTCACAAATGAAATAGGTTTTTTGTTTTGTTTTGTTGTGTTGTGTTGTGGACCAAATTTGACAGCATATTCGAACACACCAAAAACATGCCCGGTCAAAACAATTCATTCATTTTATTTGTAAGGCAACGCGAATGCACCACATGAACTTAATAATAAACAATTGCTGGCTGTGTTTTGGAATGCAAAGTGCATTGGTTTTCACAGGCAATTTTTGTTGGTTCGATCTGCTTCGGTATTGCACACAACAGGTGTATATTCAGGTAATAAATTATCATCAATTGATATATGCTTTTGGAAATGAATCGGAGAGTCCATAAATTGCGCTCTTTTCTAAACAACACACAAATACACACGGACACACGAACTGTGGGTAGGATGGAAGGGAATATGAATCGCGCATTTGACATCTCTCGCCAAAATTTTCGCCGAAATTCTTCTTTTCGCTTGTGATAGCATGCGAAGAAGAGCATACAAGCGATGAAACTCACAATTAGTCGTTGTTTGTTGTTGTTGCTGGTGCTGGTGCTGGTGCTGCTGTTTTTCGGATTGTTGCAACGATTGATTCGCACATTTATCGTCCGAATTATTGTTGATGTTTGTGACAACCTTTTCGGGGGGCACTGTGGTTGCAATTGCATTCGTTGGGGCTAAAAAATCAATTGAATGATAATTTTTTGTTCATTTAGTTTTCATGTCAAGACTTTCAACTTCAATTGAAATGCTGAATGTTAAATGTGTGTTTGTTATTTTGATTTGATGGGTATGTGTGCGTGTTTGTAAGTGAATTAAATTTTTTTTCTCTACGGCTGCTTCTTTCATTCGGTTTGAGTTAAATGCATATAGTAGTAGTATTATTATTATTTAGTTTTTTCCTTCAATTTTTTTTTTTTGGTTGGTTCGCGAAAAAAATATGTGTGTGTATGCTTGAATTTACCGAAGTTTGCTAACACAGAAGAAGGTTCACTGTCACTCGCGTTGTAAATAATGTTAATATTATCGTTTGATTTTTTCTCATTTTCATTTAGAGCATTGTTTGGATCACTAATCGCACTCGATTGATGTCCATTTGACACAAGTATTGCACTACTGTTATTATCTTGATTGCTGCTACTGCTGCTGCTGCTGTTCAACAAATTATTATTATCATTCAGTAAATGCTGTTGAAAATCGGATAGCTGTTCCTGCTGTGGTGGTTTCTGTGGAGGTTTTGCATCATCACTCGGTGCTGTCACTATATTTGTGTCCGTTGAACCACCAACAATTGCGCTAACCGTAAACTCATCGACGTCTGTTCTGAGATCTTCCTCTAAAAACTTAGTAGACGCCATTTTCTTTCAAGATCCAACAGTAAACTGAGCAGCGCATGCCCATCTACCGTGAATCTAGTACGGCCGAAACTGAAACAGATATACTGCGCGAAACGTACGACTGTACCCATTCCGTTCGTGTGCCGCTTGCCGTCTCTTTTCAATCAACACAAATACCCATTCCGTTGCGATTCAATTGCGTGTTTCATTCTTCACCTCACCAAATTCAGTTCAGTTCGGTTCAATTGAATTCATTCGGGTTACCCGATGCTGCGTGCCCGTGTCTCTCTCTCTCTCTGAGTGTGTGTGTATTTGAGTGCGTGCTTACCTCTTTCAGATAGACTACGTAGTTCGGTGGAGATGGTAGTGGTACGTGTGTTAGTGTATGCTTATCGTTTGCCTATATGGCATCGCTAAGAAATTCTCTTCTTTTTTTTGTCATCAATTTTACTGGTGTGCACACACTGTTCAACCAATATGCCTCCACTATGCCCAAAATATACAACAACAACATAGAAAAAAATTCACACAAACATCCGACTAATTGCTTATTTCGCTCGTTGAAGCTCTTTTAGTTGCTCGTAATCATCACACATCGAACGGCATTTTCTTTTCACAAAACCAAAAGCAACCGAAGAAAAATTTAGCACTCTAACATGTTCCTAATGTTTTGATTGCAATTTTTATGCTTGCTGAGCGAATAACTCGGCACATTCGTCGCTTTCCTACACATTAGTGCACTGTTTTGGTGGAATTTGTCGTGTGGAAGCCGCTAAAGCGGCAACTTTAGCGCGTATTTATTTTCGTTTGTTGATTTCATTGATTTTTCCTTCATTCACTTTGTGCGTGTCTTTTGAATTTATTGCCTATTCGGAAAAAAAAATCTATGCACTTGAAGAAAATTGCTCAGAAAATGAAAATGCGTTCGGATTTCGAAACAATCGACGAAACATTTTGTGCCGGGCGCATTGACTTTTTTCTTCTTCCTTTCTGTACAACACAAAATTCTATTTTATTTCCTCTCTTTCGAAACAATTCATTATTTTCGTCGAAACCGTTTTTTGTTTGTCTTTTCTTTTGTTTACAATCAAATTGGCTTACGTTTTGCGGTAAATACAAATCCCAAAAAAAAATGTATTGAAACGATAGAACACGCGACGCCGACTAAGAGATACAACCAAATATTACGCCCGTCAAGCGAACATTTATGAAATGTTAATGTTTGAACTGCACTCCAGAGACGATATCGATGCTTCTTTTTCCTTTCATGGTGTCAAATGGTGACGGCTATATGCAACGAAATGAGATAGCAACACGCCAAACTAACGCCATCTGATGACAATTTGGCGAATGTGCAATGGCGATAAACGATTTTCGAAACGGTTGCATTCATTTCGTCATCAAACGCATCCACTCTTGTTCGCACAAAGCGAAGCGAATCAAATTAAAATTCAAATCACTGAGAATGCTTACGATTTCGAACGTTGATTTCATTTGCAACGAAAGCCAAACTGAATACGAAAAGAAAGAGAAATAATGTGAAACTTGATTATTTGTTCTTGGTCAAACACACTTTATTTTGACACAGTCATTAACATCTAAAATTCGAATACTTCTATTTATACCCTGTGAACGTAATAAAAATCTAACCGTGCATGTCATTTGCACTGTTCATTCAGTTCAAAAGAGAAAAAAAAAATAGAATTAACTACTCAAATCAATAAAAAGCGACAACATATTAACAATAATCAAGTCAATGGAATAACTTTGTTTTCCTGATTTCGACGAACTAAGTACCATATAGAACATCCGGCAAATGTCAAAAAACCACCAAAAATCATCGAATAATAAAGTAAATCAAGAGCGATTAAAATATAGATGAGTTTCCATTTGAGTAATGACTGCATAGCATCATTTAATTCAACACCCTGGAAATGAGACAAGTAAATCCACAATTATTAACATTGTTATCATCGATGAGTGCAATTTCAATGTTGCACCGAATATTGCCAACATTGCTTACCTCTTCCACCCAGACAATGGGAAGTAGACAGGTTTGTAGTTGTTCGGTGACATCAATTTGATTGATTTTCTTGATGAACATATTTAGCTGGACGCGTTTAGCACCTCTCAATGGATAACCTGTATTCTGAACAAATAAATTAACAACCAAGAAACAAAATTTTAGAAAAATTGTCGATTCAACTCATGTACATATCAACAATGAATTCATTTCAAAATTTTGAATTTAAATGCATTTGAAAAACAAAGAAGAAAAACTAGAACAAACCGGTTCAATGTCTGCAAATGTTAGGTGCCGTTTTGGATCTGGATGAAGACCTTTTACTGTTCTATATTCGGCGGCTGAACCGAGCATATGCGGAAATGTCATGATAATTGGTCCCCCTGAGCAATTTCCATTAAAAATGTTTTCATAAAAATTCTTTGAACTTATTTATTCTTATTCAAATGATTGGTTTCGTGTCTGTTTTTTTCTGACAAACATTCTTTCTATCAAGAACTGACGAAACAGGTCTATGGCCAACCAACAAATGCTAATGTTAACTTTCGTTTTTTTTTTTTACTTTTTCCGATATTTGTTTGTTTTGTTCTCAGTACTTCGTTCACACATAAATTATACACAGTCAATTCGGTGCGTGATGTCATGAATTCAAACCATTTCTTATGGTTCGAAATGCATTTCTGTTGTTTTCAACAGTTTGTTTGTTTCCTTCTCTACGATACGCTTATACACATAAATTAAGGAATTGCGACGCGCGATGACACATCAATTCAAGTAAAATTCTTAAGAAACCCATTGTTGTTCATGGATTTCGTGAAAAATTCGATATAAAACATTTAGAATGTAATTAGGACAGACGAGAAAAATAAAAAAAAGAAGTTCGTTTTACACAACGATTCAACCTGCAATTCAACACTATATTAAAATATGTTCTAACGATTAAAAATCGGCATGAGATCAAACATTCCGAATACCGATCGCATTATATTATCGGTTTATAAGACAAATTTTGGTTTATGTGATGATCAATTGCTGGTCGGTTATCACTGTGGCGATTTTAAGCCGGAGAATGAATAACGCCATTTACGTGGTTTTCGCGATGTTTGAACTAATTCAGCCGATGGCGGTAAATATGATGAATTTACGCCCAGAGATTGTGCGATTTTCGATATTTCAAATTGGAATAATTCCTGCACTTGTCCGTTAGTCGGTTTGTTCGTTGACGGTTTAATTTTAATATAACCATCCGGAAGACTGTACGTATTTAATTTATAGGAAAGAGAAGCACTGGGTGTGAAGCGCAACGTGTATGGATTGGCAAAGGTTATCGGTTGTTTGGGAAGTGGTGGTATGGTCGGAATGGTATAGCGTTCCGGTGCTTTTGTTGTCAATCGACCCAAGTACAAATCGAATATGTTGAACTTGGAACTTGAAGTGGATGGTGATGGTGTTGCGATTGTGTTCAAAGCTGGATTAGCAAAGCCAGCCGATTGAAGGAAGGCAAAGGTGGGTTTTGGGGTTGTTGTGGTTGTAGTTGTAGTTGTAGTTGTTGTTTTAATTGATGACAGTTTCGGGAATCCAGGTGATTGAGTGAAGGTAAAGGGTTTTGGTGTCGTTGTGATGGTGATTGGTGCTCTCGCAAAAGTGACTGGTTGCTGGTTAAACACAAATGCAGTGGGCGGTTTAGTTGTTGTCGTTGTTGTTTTTGTAAATGAAAATTGGGGTAATTGGATCAGAGGGAATGAGGGTTTTGCGTTCGTTGTTGATGGAATAATTGGAGCTACATGCGGGAATCCGAGCGATTGAGTGACAGCAAAGGCCGGTTTTGGAGTCGATTTTGTTGTTACAATCGATGGTACCTTTGGGAATCCAGCCGATTGAATCACACTAAACGCTGGTTTCGGTGTAGCTGTTGTCGTAAAGTAATTTTTGTACACAGCACCGAATGTCGGTTGATTATCATTTTTCGTTGGTGCAATTGAATTTGGTTTTATTTGAGCCCCAAACGCTGGGAATGCCGTTGCAAATGTTAGCTTCGCTGGAGCGGTTGTTGTCGATTTTGTTGTAAATGGTTGCAATGTTCCGAATGATGGTCGCTTCGTTGTCGATGTTGTATAATAGCTTACGAACTGTGCCGCCGTTGCTGCAGGGTATTTCGTTGTTGTCTGTGTAGGTGTGAACATCGAAAATGGCGCGAATGTCGAATACTTGAACTGATTTAATGGGGTCAAAGTTGCGGCAAGTGTCGTCTTTGGCTTTTGTGTAGTCGTTTTTGTGAATGGGACAAACGATGGGATGGTTTTCTTTGTGACATTTTCCACTTTTTGTGGTTCGTAGTTGGCGAAACAGTCGTCGGTATGCGAAGATTGTATTTGTTTACAGTATGGCTCATAGGTAGTCCAAGCATGGAATCCATTACCGAATAATCTGAAAAATTTTAAAGGTTTCCCCATAACATAAATACGAGCGATACGTGGAGAAAAAAAAACGACGAAATGACCACGGTCACAGTTCTTTTACCTTTGATGTTCATCGAAAATTCGTTTGATACACTGTACGTCATCGGCAATGTTTGCATCGCGGAAACTACTACACGATGCACTGCACGCTTTGCCCGGCCCCGAATTAGAACACCAATATATGTCACTAATTTGGAGAAAATATACGTATAATAAGAAATAAATAAATTTTTTCAAACAGAAAATCATTTTGATAGTTCAGTTTCATTTGATTTTGTTTTTTTTTCTTCAGTTTTTGCTGTCAATTCTCTTTGATTAATTAAGAAAAAAGGTTCAAATTTTCATGAAAGTATTGAAAAAATTCACCTAATTTGAAACAGTCCCCAATCCGTGCTGCCATCGGCATTCAATCGTCCAACGGCTGCCGTATCGAAATTCGATTCTCTTTGTACGATACAAACCCAAGTGTGTATCTGTTCCAATGGCACATTGTATTTGTATCGCAACTCTCTAGCCAACTCACATCGTTCGTATACTTTTCCTTTCTTTGCTGTCTCGCCGATTGAATTGGTAATTTGATTGTCTGCATAATTTACATTCAATGTGAAGCTTGGTGATGGCGGTTTGAAGTTTGGTGTGATTGAAATATCATCGAAACAACCGGCAATTATTTCGGATGATCGTCCACGACAATAAGGTTCGTACACGTTCCATGCTGTAAAGCCATTGCCTGAGAGCTTTTGATGAGTGTCATAAATGAGACGAGCACATTGATAATCGTCCGTTATGTCAGAATCTTCCAATGATCTGCAGTCCACATTGCATTGTTTGCCTCTGGCACCATCTGAGCACCAATACTCGTTGTTGATCTGCCATAAACCATGCGAATTTTGCCCTTTTGCCGATGTTGCAAGATTCGATGAATATAAAGCAATGCATACCCAATCAGCGATTTGATCTTTTGGCACATTGTGACGATAACGCAACTCTTTTGCTAATTCACAACGTTCGTATGCACGACCTTGATCGCCTACTGCATTTGATACAACCGATACAACTGGTTTTGGTATTGATAACGCTGGCTGATTTGCATGAATTTCATTCGGGAAACAATCGCTAATAAGCTGATTTGTTTGATGGCGACAATGCGGCTCATACACAGTCCATGCATGGAATCCATTGCCAAACAAACGTTGATGCTCTTCATAGATTTGCTTCACACATCGTACATCATCCGAAATGTCATCGTTTCTGAAATCAGAACAAGCTGCATTGCATCCTTTTCCAACACCTTCATTCGAACACCAATAAATGTCACTAATTTGGAAACGTAAAATAAACAAGAAAAAATCCATCAAAAAACGATACAGATGATCGTCTGCTAACACTAGTTGGTAATAAGCTCGCTAAACGATTCAATTAAAATTAAAGACATTTTTTGGAAAATATGACTAAAATGAACTGGGGGACTTACGATATTTGAAAAATGCCGTTGTCTTGGCTGCCATCGGCATTCAATCGTCCAATTGCGGCAGTGTCAAAGCGCGACTCATGTTCAACGATGCACACCCAAGTGTGTATCTGTTCCAATGGGATGTTATGGACGCTTCGTAGCTCTTTGGCCAATTCACATCGTTCGTAGATTTTACCACTTTTCGAGGTCACTTTTGATGGTTTGGCCGGTGAGAAAATGTTGTTTGGTTTCGATGGGAAATCAAATGCTATTGATACTTCATTACCCAAACAGTCTCTCAATACTTCTGGACTCTCATATTTGCAGTGATGCTCATATGGTGCCCAGGCTTGAAATCCGTTGCCAAATAATGTTTGATGTTTATTAAATATCGTTTGAACACATTGTACATCATCAGTGATGTCTCCGTCTTTCAAACTGCTACAGTCAATATTGCATCCTTTTCCAACACCGTTCACACTGCACCAAAACTGATCACTGATTCCGAACAATCCATAGCTACTGCTACCGTCCGCATTTCTCGGCGCTTCAGCGGCTGTATTCAGACTGGACAGTGCCTGAGCGATGCAGACCCACGTGTGAATTTGATCTTTTGGCAAGTTATGCTTATACCGAAGCTCTTTGGCCAATTCACATCGACTGAACACCTTTGCACCACCGGCTGGAATTTTCTTTTTCAATGCCGGCTTTTCGATCAAAGCAGGTGCGAAAATACCCGGTTTGCGCATTGGGAAACTGATTTCATTTGTAACATCACTGTCGAAACAACCGGCAGTGTATTGATCTACATTACGTTTGCACCGAGAATATGTTGTCCATGCATTGAAACCATCTCCAGATAATCTATGTGGAAAAAATGATCAAAAGCCATGGAAATTGGTTAAAATAAAGTAGATTTAAAAGGGGTCGAGGATACGCAGAGGCGAGGACACATTCGATTTATAAGCAGATTAAAATAAAAATGCAACTTACCGTTGATGTTCTTCGTAGATCTTTTTCAAGCAGGCAACATCGTCTGTGATATCGGAATTTTCAAGTTTGGCACACGATAAGCCACAAACCCATCCTTTTCCCGGCGGGGAACACCAGTAAATATCTGAGATTTGAAATAACCCATGATCTAAACTGCCATCTGCATTTTGGCTACCAATAGCCGATGTGTTGAAGTTTGACTCGTGTTTTACAATACACACCCACGTAGCGATCTGCTCCAATGGAAGCTTGTGCACGAAATGCAATTCTTGTGCCAATTCGCATCGTTCATAGATTTTATGCACTTTCTTCTCCGCAATTGCTTTCGTTCTATCCTTCGATTGGAGAGGTTTATCGAAAAAGAAGCTGCTTTTCTTTTCACCCAAACAATCCTTGATGATATCACGACCATCGGTACAGTATTGCCGATAAATGGGCCACGCACTGAATCCATTGCCATGGATACGTTGATGTTCCGCATAAATCTTTTGTATACAATCGAAATCGTCTTTCAAAAATGTATCGTGCAATTTATCACAACTGATTTTACAGGCTCGTTCGAGTTGCGAATTCGATGAACACCAAAAATCCGAACTAACTTGATAGATACCGTGATAAATGGCACCTGATGCATCCGTATTTATCAATGATGTGTTAAAATTTGATTGATATTGAGCGATACACGTCCAAGCATTAAGCTGCTCATAGTCGATTTGTGGATTAAAGTGTTGCAATTCATGGACAAACTCACATCGATCGATTAGTTTGCACTGACTTGCTGTGGCGAGCAGCACAATAAAAACCGTTGCAAATTCACACCTAAAATGCATGTCTGTTTTTTTTTTGTCTTTCGCCCTCGTTCACTTGTTCTAGTCGAGGGGGAAAATGTTCGATTGACTTGGTCACAGCGATAAAGACACAATCGAAAATGAAAGTAGCCGCTTAAAGTAATGGTTCAAAACGTGCCAGAAAATTTAGTACAAGATTTCATTGAAACTTTGAAGCCGTACAATTGTTTTCTTTTCTTTTCTTTTTGAAAATATATATCGTGTCTACGTTCTTCGTCCAACCACACGAACAATTTCATTCAACTAATTTCCCTTTCGGCCGACAACAACCGAGTCTATTTATTTTCGGCTGAAAATTAATTTCGCACCAGTTCGTTTGTTCGGTTTATTTTTTTTTTCGTTCGTTCGTTCGGTTTCAAAGTTTTCTTCTTTTTTTCAGTTTAAATTTCACTTGCAAACACAAAGCACGCGCGCGCCCCCCTTAATGCTGAACCGAACTTCTCAATGATTTGCACGAGACTAAAGTAGGCACCGCATAAAAACAACAAACAAACCTCTATATATCATTCGGAATTCTGAGAGTAAGAGTACGAGACAGGGCGAGAGAGCGAGAGACACTGAATTAGTACAATATCGGATGTATAGCATGCGAACATCTTCGCCAACAGCAATATCATCGCACATCATTGCTATCTGGTGTGTTAGCGCGCGCGATTATACTCTCAATTTTCAAATCGACATTTTTGTGCGCGCTGCGTCGTCTTTGTATCCAAAAAGTGTGTGTTTTATTGTTATTGTTTCTTTTTTTTCTTCTGTTCGTGGTTTGCTACCATTGATATTATTCGTTCATTCAGTTGGCTTTGTTTACAAATGGAGAAGGAGAAACACTGTTTGGGCCGAACCGAACGAGAAAAAAAAACATGATGAAATGGACGTTAAAATATACACATCAAGACAAGTGTATGCAAATTAAACTGGAATTTAGATAATCGCCGTTTTGTGTTTTGAACTGCACATACACACGATTCAAATAGTGCGGCTCTTCTCATTCTCGCTACGATGTGTGTTTCCGTCATTGTCGTCCAACAAAAGAAGAAGAAGAAGAAAATACACTTAATCAAACCGAAATGCGTTGAGCACATAATGTTTTTGTTGGTTCAACGTCATCATTGCCTCACTAAAATTGTGTCAAATCAAATTCTAATTCTTGGCCCGAATTTAAAAAAAAAACAACTCCAAGCGGCCTAACATGCCATAGCATTGACCATTATACAATGTCAGAAGACACGCGCGCACACACAACACATCACGAAATCAATTCAATTAGGCTTATTTACGGGAAATCAATTTTTAGAATGCCAAATTCACCTGTTCGGTTGTTTTTGTTCTTTCTTCATTTCAGCTTTTAATTAAGGTTTTTTTTACGGATTCCATCGATTCGTAATGTGCTTTGTTATCTGCGATGTACCTGCACCGGTGGCGGCATAATTTATGTATTCAATCATTTTTATTCCCTTGTTTAATTCAAACCAATCTGGGATTTATTGATTTTTTCTTTGTTCATTCCGTTTTACCTATCGTAATGCGCATTATTTATTGAATTTTTCACCAAATCTGTGAATCAAACCGATTAAACTGTCATTTTTTTTGCAAGCACTTTATGAACTCTGTAGCGCGTTCATTTTGCGGTGAAACGATGTGATTTTTCAAATTCTTAATTGGATTTCATATCAGAAATGGTTATCGATAATTAATTGGGAAATTAAGCAGTAATTAAAATTCAAATCTTCAAATAAACATGTGCTGACACATTGGAACTAGCTTCATAGCACTGCTTTTATCAATTTATGTGAATGAAATAACGATAAGAACGACAAAGATGATGTCGGCGGCGTCGATAACAACAACACAAATAGAGAAGGCGGTGGAAAAATAATGTTGATTGAATCCATTAGTATGGAAAGCGGTTAAACTTGGAATTCCAGGAAATATTTCTAATTTTGTTCAATTTGAACAGAACGCATCGTACGTCTATTTTGAATAGAGGCTATTCGGATGAGAGCGGCTATTGTTCGGCATGAATCGAATCAGATATTCCCAATTTGAGACAGTTAAACTCATTTTCTCCGGAAGTTTTGGAGTGAGCCCAGTTAATTTTTATTATACTAAATGTGTTTGTTTATTTTTGTATTGTTCTGGGTGTTTCGTGTCCATTTGCTGATGCATGCATGCAATCAATCAATATGTAGCCGTGTGCGACACACTGTGCGTGAGGGTCGACACTTTCTATGCACTTGTCGGAAGCAAAACACTTCGTCTATCTGACCTTAGATGCACAACAATTTGAAGAAGGAGAAATACTAGGTTTTTCACATTTTATCGATTCGACGACGCATTTTTATGGCCATATCAAATGTGTTTACTGTTCACATACTTAGAAATCCATTAAATTAAAATGCTAGTGATATAGTGTTTTTGTGATAAAATATTCGAATAATAGTTGCAAAATGGTGTGGTGTGGTGTGGTATGGTGGGGTATGACATCAGTTGGCATTATCTCTGCGCATTGAATTTGAATTAATTCGGACGTTATTCAAAAATCTATTCATAAATGTGAGTAATGGCGGTATCTCTTTTGCTCGTGGTGGACATCTTTTTCGCGATGGATTCGGGCCGCTTATAATCGGATGATAGCCCAGCTTGCCTGACAGGATACATGTCATAGGACGCTTGACACGGGGCCACGATAAAAAGCATGATCAAAGTTATTTCCCCAAACAAGTTTGTCGCGCTGCGTTTAATGAGCCACATCATTTGCATGTTATACGATATTCGAAGCTCATCACTCCTAAATTTAGGTTCACACGCAAGAATTTCACAACGTTCAATGTTCTCCGATGAAAACGTGTGCGAAATGGTATTTTGAAATGAAAAAAAAGACAAAAAAATTTGCGTATTTATTTTCGCTTTAGATCCAGTTTCAATCATCTCTGCGATGTTTTTTTTATGTCATTCCAAGAAAAAGTTGTGATCCACTAAAAAATGGATCATGCAACATTTCGTTTCGGATTAAGTCACCACAAGGAATCGTGCTAAACAAGGTGGATAGCGTATCGCATTTGAATTTCTTCAGAAGATTCTTCCTAGTTCAGTTGTATGGCGAAAATTGGTATCAAAAATTCCATTGATTTTAAAGCAACTTGTCCGGACGAACTTGATAGATCTGCTTTGTTTTATTCAAAGTTGGTAACAATAACCGTATTTGTATGTCTTTCGTTGAATGAATCAATTATATCGCGGTATGGCACGCGCGGTACGCATATTCAAATTCATGTCATAAGACATGTTCAAATGCAGATAAATGTCGCCAATCGGCGATTTTGATGACCATTCGATAAGCTATAATCAAATCTCCCTCGTTCAATCGCTTTTTTTTTGCTCCTTCTCACTCTCACTTTTATGTATATGATTTAGTTGTTCGACAGAGTAAAGGTCACGATCATTGGTTTTTGGTGTGTGTGTGTGTGCTTGTCTGTTTTTCAACTCTTCTCATTTTCATTTTTGCATATTATCATTTCATGCACGGCTAAATTGTTGGCAGTTTTTATTGTCATATATAGAATCAAACGAGAACGTTAATTTTTTTTTTCATCTGACCTGGCCTGAGCCTAGTTTTCGGACGCAATGCGAATAATTTTCACATCAAATTTAATATATTTTAAAATACAATCGCTTTTAGCAGCACCGACCGAATCGCACAAAATATGTGTTAAAATTATTTACGGGCTAGAAATGATTGGGGCTATAAAAAACGTGAAATCAAGCACACAATCAATAAATCACAGCGATCATCACAACAGATGGCCCAGCCATAAAAATACATCATTCATTTGCTAAAGGAAATTGAATAAAAATCAACCTATGCATATCAACCAAACTAAATAAAAAAAACTAACGAAGAGAAGTTCGTTCGGCGACCTTCAGAGCATTCATTTTATGTCTCTATGGAATTTCATCGACTGAAAAGAAGTTTATGATTTAAATTTCACTTCATTGTTTTCTCCTTTTGAAGCTAATCGCGATGATTTATTGGATTCTGACCTATCGACGCCGAAGAAGAAAAAAATAGTTCAACGTATTATATATTTGAGTTTTATGTCTTTCGTCTGCCATTGCTTCAGCAACAACTGAACCGAAGCATTCTTTTAAAATCGATAATCCCTAATCGGTTGGAACCTCTGGCTAAAAGCAATTAACCATTTTATCATTTCATGCAAGCGCTAATTGCATTCTATTAAATTCGGTCTGAATACTAGCCATCATGACTTAGAACTTCGACGCAGACACATCAACCACTAATTGAGTAATTGACTTGTTTCAATTTTAGTGAAATGCAATTTGTTGGTCGTCATGAAATGTGATACATCTGAACTACGTATATGTGTACACGTTTGTAAAGTGTACACAAAACCTTACCTTGGCAAGTCGACAAATCCAGCGCTCCTTTATACAAGCAACCATTTGATCTAACTGGAACATTCACAATTCTATCAATGCAAAAGCATTCATTTCCAAATTCGGGCCCGATACTCTCTAAAAAGTCGCTGCCACTCTCAAAATGATACCCAGGTATGCCGGCATAACGAATTTTTCCTGCATAATAAATCTTCACCGAACTAAAATTGAAGCCAAAATGTTGCACAAAAATCGTTGAAAATAAAGAAAACGACGTAAATTTGTCATATTAAGTACCGGCAAATATCCGTTGCGAAAATGTCCAGGTAGGCGTTGGGCTTGATGTGTGGCGCATAAACGGTACTATCAGTGCCGTTGATAAAATTGCACGTTGATTTGCCACCATCTGTTGCGTTCATCCAGGCTTTGATGGCGTGTCTATTGTTCCATTTCCGAATCGCACCCAATTTTTCAATATCCCCCACACCCGAATGTATTTCAAACAGGCCATCATCCGTATTATTTTTCTAAAAAAAAACTATTTCAATTAATCTTGAACTTTGTCAGGTGACCTAATTGTTCTGAAACATTAAAATCTTCTTATTTTTGACCCAATTATCTAACGATACCAGAGCATAAAACTCAGAATAAACAAAGAGAAGCGTAAAATTGTGTTTATTACTCACGTGACCAAACAACGAGAATCTCATTGAGCCATCGTCAATTTCTTTAATCGCTCGTGGCTTTTGGTTTTTAATTACGGAACAAATGAAGCTCGCAATTCCACTTGGATTTACACATAACGGTACTCCGTCGAAAAGCAGATCCGACACTTTGACGGTCATAAACATGGAATCATATTTTTCGCCGAAAACATCCTCAAGTTGTCCATTTAGGATTCCCAACTGTGCTGGCATCGAGCTTTCTGCCATCTGTACAACTGACTTTACAATTGACAAGAAAAAAAACAGCCCAAATTTTCAGTTAGTTCTACAGAAAATTCAAATTCAAATCCTTACAAACGAAAGTGAATTTTAGACAGAAAGGAACAGCACGATAGTTGTAAAACGCCCGTGGTTATGCAACTCGCTTGCGATGGTTCATTTCACATTCAAACCGATCAGAATTGTGCAAAATCATCGTGCATTGTTTGTATTTACACTGAATTACTATGTACATTATTATTAATTAAGTAGAAGTTCTTGAAAATGCCTTGATGCAAATGGAAAAAAATGAGGGCACATTTTGCAAAAAAAAAAATATATTCAGTGTTTGCCCATTGTGTATATCGTTCATTTGCTGTTGTCTTTCAATTTCAGCCAAAAACGAAAACCCATGCCAAATATTCAGATAGAAACGGTTGCGTTTGCTATACCTTTCGTTGACTTCTCGATTGTACAACGTGTTTTATTGTATTTATGATTGGAATTCTTTCTAATGTGTTATTTATTGCATTTCCTATGCTTTTCAGAACCGCATGAAATCCGTATTCAGCGATTTGGAGGACACACTTGTGCAGCCAGTTTCAAATTTAATGAGAAAAAAAAACAAACACACAATTCAAATAAAAATATAATTGAAATTTGTATTTTGTCAGAGAAAAACTCAATCTTCCGAATGAAACTGGAGCTTTTTGTGCGTCACAATCAATTGAATTGCACCATCACCTGCTTTAGTAGTTTTTGTTTGTGGTTCACATGGCGAAAAACATAATTTTAACGCAAAATAAATTTTGGTTTAAGAATTGAAAGAATTGGATGCGATCGAAAATCATGTAATACTTACGTTTAATTGAACATTTAATACGACTAAATTGTCGCTTTCAGTCAATGGCGCCGACGCATGTTCGTCAAAAATGAATTTTTGAATGCCACGAAATATCACAAACCTTTTATCCGGCGAAACGGACGATATATCTTTGTTCCGATATTGCCTGGTTCATTTGGAGCAAAATAGCATGAACGATTTTCACATTTTGGCCGCGCCAACATTATAACATACCGATAGATATATGGTCCAATTTCCTTGACTTTTGGTACACCACCTTCGATCACTTCATTAGGATTTGTCACATTGAATATGAAGACCTTGAAATGCAACGGTTGAGGTATATTTACAAATCGTTCAAACTGTTCAGTTCCTTCTTCGAGCACAGTTTGCTGTTGAACATGAAACACATTTTTCGATAGAGATTAGGAAAAATGGTCGGAATTTAACGGAACGAAATTGATATACTTTGTCGATTTCGATTGCAACAAGTGCTGGAAAGAGTACCCATCCAAAAAATGCACCCAAAATTGCTAAAATATAATTGGCACACGTACGAAAAAAAAAATTGATACGATAATGTATTGTATCAGCACTTGGTGAAAATAGAATGAAATTCACCTGAAACAATGCCACAAATTGCACCTAAACCGAGCTTCGAAACACCCTTCCATTTTAAATTGAACATTTTTCTCCTGTTTTTTTCCGCGGTGGTTTTTATTCTTTCTCTGTTCTCACCATAGAACAAAAATCTCACCAAATCGAACGATCACCATCTACTGAATTTCGATCAATAAACCGTATCGATAAGTGAGAAAAGGCGTTTGCTTTTCCATACGTCAAACAAAACAAAATAACAATTGAGTAATTTTTCGTTGGGCTGATTTGAACACTAGCGTTTTTTTCTTTGTCAATCGAATCGAAACAAAAACAGAGCAAACCTGAATGAAATCTGACCGAACTATGGAGTGTGAGTCAATAAAAACAAAAAAATTAATAATAATGATGTTCTCGTGTCGTGCGTTGTATTATCGAAAATCTTGAAAAGATGTGATGGGCCCGGGTGGCATGAAGCGTTGAATTTCAATGAATTTTTGTATTAAAATAATAGTGTCGATGATGATGATGATGATGACGATGATCAAACGATAAGATAAGTGGCCCAAAGATATTTTGTTGAATAATTGATGCGGATCAAACGCGTACAAAAATAATTTTCTATAATATCATTTCGCTGTGTGTGATATTATACTAATAGCTGAAAAAATATCAATGCATTGAAATTGGCCACAATGGATTCAAAATGGAACCGAACTAATTGAGCAACCGATTGCTGGATTGTTCCGAAAAATAATTTGAAAGTTTGGCTCGAAACAATAGCCAATACGTTTTACCTTGAACACGTATCACTTCCAGTGTCGCTCAATCTTTACACACTAAAAAATATCTGTAAGAATCTACACGATGATACGAATCAAACATGGATTTATATGACAAATCGTGTAAAAACGATAAAATATCGTGTAATTTCAAATAAATCAATGAATTGGTCAATACTTTTACCCGATATACGCATCTGTCAAATGTTCGCGTCGAAAAATTACACGATATTTCAATGTTTTACACGATTCGTCATAAAAATCCCATTTTGATTTTTATTATCGTGTAAATTCTTATAGATATTTTTTAGTGTGTATATTGCGACATTAATGAGCACACCTTTTAGAGACCAATCCCTTCTCGACCACAGAGATAGTACACAAGGACGATTAGCTGTAGATGGATCCAGTGAAATGCACCGTTTATATTTTGTGATATTTTTATTAGTGTAGTTTTTGTCCATTTTCTTGTAAAATATTGATTAACAAGCTTCATTTCTTTAAAAAAAATGGGATTTTTTGTTGTCTTATCAAACTTTTACTATGTAGTACTTAGACACTATAACATAGAAATTATTTACCATTCCTTATCTAAAAAATATGCTTAAAAAAAAGAAGGTCAGTTTTTTTTACCGAAAAATAATTCCAATTTTTTCGAATCGATTTTTATCTCGTTATTATTTATTTAAGCCTATAGGCTGAACTATAGTTCATAGTTTGGTAGAGGAAAAAAATCTTGAATATTTCAGAATCGATGATTGGTTCAATCTCAGGGATTCAAATTTCGAATAAGTTTGGTGCCTTGAAAGCTTTTTCTTTTGCCAATAAAAATCATTTGGTCCAACAATGTCACAACATTCAATATCTTTCTTTTCTCGTGAAAAAGCAAAAAAATGGCAGAAAACAATTTAAATTCCCCCCAATTTTTCATAAATTTTGTCGATGTTACATCGGACGGATATTTATCGAAAAAAAGGTGGATTCATCTCGAAACAGCATTCCATTAATTGGCGGATAAATTCGATCGGCTAGAATAATATGATATTATCAAATGAAAATATTGAAAAATGGAAAAGATGTGTATTCTTACTAGACTTGGAAATGTTCATACGCAAAAGTGCCCCTTGCCTATGCCAATTTTAATTTCAATATTTTTTTTATATTATATCGTATTATTCTAGCCGATTAAAATCGTATGTTATTAGTTGTTGTTTCAACTCAACGATTTATCTCCAATCCAAAACTGTAAACAAGGCTTATGCTCAAGACAAGTGCTGTTTTTTTGCTCAGGATAAATTTTCGAAATTTTCCCAATGGAAGCAAAAGGATTTTTGGTCGGTATGGCTCGCTAGGCCACACCAAATTGGGCCATTTGCCACCATTTATCCGGGTCGATAGTCCCCATAGGTAGGAAAAATTGACTCTCGTATGTGGAAGATTTATCCGCGGATAAATTTTCGAAATTTTCCCAATGGGGCCGAAATGATTTTTGGTCGGTGCGGCTCGCTAGGCCGCACCAAATTAGGCCATT